AAAAAAAGCTTGGAGACTGGAAATGAAGAGCATCAAAAAGCTGGGGCGAGTTAACAGATAACACTGGTGATTAGTTTGAGGGACAGTGTGGAGATATGGGAGAGAACTGGCGTTAGTTATGAAAAGTGGTTTTCCCCTCCCTTCTCCTGGCCTAAAACAATGATCAAAATCCCCGAAATTCCCTGAATGTGCATTCATTATATGGTCTGCATCCCAAGAAAGTATACCACCTGCTATGTTGCCTGTAGCTGAATTATACTTACGGTCGTTGTCTGTGATTCTAATTTCAGTTGCTCCACGTCGCCCAAAGCAGTTTGCTGCCCCTTCTTCAATCTGGAAGCGATAGCGATTTCAGCTATTATTGCAAAGCTCTGTTCATCTTCATCGATACTTTTATCCACAATCATGAAAACTTGAGGAAGTCGGAATGTTCGGGTGTTGGCTGGTATTGTGACTGTGGTTTTACTCATGCTGAAGTCATCAACTACAGCACGACAGCAAAGGTGGAAAAGAGGTATACCATATCCATGAGATCACTATACAAGGGCACACAAAGGTGTGGAGCAGATACTCACGCTTTCGCTACAAGTAGTCTACTACCACATTACACTGGTAAATGCCACTTCAAAAGTACACTTAGTAAAGACTGGAGCATTGTGGTTGCTCCTACTCTACTTCAGTAAACAATGCTACTGTGGGAAGATAGTAGGTGTTGCTAGGGGGTCCCACTCTCAGCAAACCTCAAAGGGATTGTGTTCAATCCCATTGCTTTTGGTACTTACTGAATGGAGTAGGAGCAGCATCACAGGTAAGTCTTTACTATATGTACCAAAATGCCCACCCCCCCTTCTCAGCACTAGCTTCTTTTTAGTGTGCAGTATTATGTTTCCACTAGAGAGTATCAAATTGCTAGCTATAGTAGGCACCTTCTGTTGCTCTAGATGCTTTGGTAATGGCTTCAGCATTGATAAAGTTTCCCAAACCCTCAGTTTCAGCCCTGTTGACTGTAACAGGGCAGAGGGTGACACTGAAATCTCTCTGACCTGCCCTTAACTGGAGAGTGATTGGTGTGCTTAGCACATTTGCTCCTTCCTCAATAGAGTAGTCAGACTCTCCAAAATTAATCTGCAGCACTACAGAACACACCATTGGAAAAACACATTCCACAAGATTCTCAAGTTTACCTCTACTTCACTATAGGAATCTAATGCCATAAAATCAGTTTCCACTCTGTTATATTAATATAGCTGAACTGAGCAGAGTTACAGCCAACCAATAAAACTACCCTTTAACAGCCAACCAATAATACTACCCTTTAACAGCTGACCAATAATGCTCAGGAGGCACTGGTCCTAGCAGATACGCAAGAGACCGAGACGGATCAAGAGGATGTCAGAAGGCTTCTTGTTCACAGCATGTTCGAGCCCAACTCAATAATATCCCATCATTCCACGTGCACATACACAATAATCACGCAGATCTACTCCATACCTAAACCCAGTCAACCTCTCTTACATCTCTGTGCAAAATAATGACTCCTGAACTAACTCCTTACGTAATCTCATTCCTATAAAGAGTGTATGTGTACATGAATCTAATTACTGTATGTGCACAAAGATTTGTGAGACTCAGTCACGGTTGGAAAAGAGATAAGTCAAGAAAGAGATGGCATAGTCATGTGCAAGGCCCATATCGCATCACACACACAGACTGACATATATAGGTAGCTATAATACTCACGATCATTGTCGATGATGTTGACTACTGCACTATTCCTAATGAACTCCCCTGCTCCCTCCACACCACCGATGAGTTCAGGGTTGCCAGGAGTAAATGTGAGTAGGACCCTGTCATTAGTCTCCAGAGCGAGCTGATCATTGGAAATGAACAGACGGATCTCAGCAGGACTGGCTGATACATAGATGGGCAACAGCTGCTCAAAATCCATATCAGATGCAGATAAATTTATGAACTCAGCACGCTTGTAATAATGGCTTAGCAGAGAAGATAAATTAAGACTTTATCTACTTCAATCCATAGTTTCAATGGTTGTACAAGTCTATATACTGGAGCTAACTTGCAGTTCCATCTGGATCTGGAGCAGCCGTGGTGGTTCCAGTGACAGTAAGAGTACTCAGTGGTGTCATTCCTTTCACGTTTAGTTGGAACATATTGTCCAGTCGTGCGTCCTCATTCACATCGTAAGTGGCCTGAAGGAATCCGTGCACTGCAAACAACACACAACAGCAACAAAATAATGAAAAGCACTGAAAGTGCATAACCCTCGCCACTGTTGATTATGGAGGTTCAGTAGTTGGCTGTCTCAGAGAAGATCAGAGACTGCTGTCATCTACTAATTTCAGCATACTTGTTACCTCGGTGTGTATGCGCAGCAAGGGTCTGTCTGTCTGTGTGTGTCTGTATGTTACTCTACATCTCACTTCTCGAGTGTTTGTTCGTCTCACAAAGCATATGACCTACTTAACGGGCAATGAAGGTCTGAATTTCGAACGGTTTTCTCTGAAACTGCTCCGTTGAGCGCGAAAAAGCCAATATGCAAATACACAACGGACGGGATGGCTTACCGCGGTCAGACCGATCCGCGTGCTCTGCGTATAATTACCTCGGAGGCGCCAGAGAATACCGCGAGGCACCGTGTGCGTGTGTGGAGGAAGCGTGCGCGTACAAAGCCGCGCATGCGCACTTACACGACGTACGACGACGGCTCGCTCCCGCTCGCCAATAAAAGCACGGTTGGAAATCAACCTTAGCAGAAGCGTTTGCTGGCAAAGCTAAACGTTTTTCAAGATGAGTCGTCTTACACCAACAATGGTCCTAGCAATTGCTGGGCTTGCTGTTGTTGCTGGGCGCCTGCCGTCGTGTGATAGTGTCCTCCGTCTTAACCCTGCATTTGCCTACCTCTTCACTCACTGTGACTGTCTCCGCAGTGAGTGGACTGACTGGTCGGCCATCAACCGTACAGCTGTGCCTGCTTCCCAGTGTCCCTCCCTGAGCACTCTCACTTACCAACGAAAACAACAGCGCATCAGTGGGGAGTGTCAAGATATTGTTGAACACAGAATAGTCTGTAAGTTCTCTCTTAACATTGCTGAACACTCATATGCATGACTTTTATTTGTCTGGTATAATTATACAACAATGATTTTTCTAGCGTGTGCTTTGTGAATGTATAACATCTTTATTCCACTCTCCCCTAATGGTAATGTTCACTCCCGCATAAAATCCCGGTCCTGAGTACGACCAACAAACAAGATACTTTGCCCATGCTATATAGCTTCACTTCTGTAATACGTCTTTCTGCCATGGCTCTGTGTACATGTTCTAAGCATTCTCTAACAATATAACCAATTCTTTTCCACTCATTATTAACACTCGCCTGCACGCATGCGCAGCGAGGGTTATTGCAGTCGGTCTGTCTGTGTGTGTGTGTGTGTGTGTGTGTGTGTGTGCGTGTGTCCGTCCGTCCGTCCGTCTGTCCTCCGTTTTTCTCGGTAACCGCGGCAACTCTGAGCGTGAAACGTGGACATATTTTCAACTAGGAGGAATGCATGGTAAAATAAGATTCTGGAGCGGAGAAGCCTGGGGGAAGCTGGTGAAACGGACGGCTGCCGAGGTGGGTGTGCGTCAAATAGAGATCGCGAACCATCGTTGTATAATGCTTAGATGCTAGATTCTTTGCGTGTGTGGAGAAGATTTGCTGGTCTGGCTGTATTGATGGTACAGTTGATTGCCGGTGAAGTTAGAGCAGCACACGCCCCAGTGAATCCGTTCAGTGAAGGAGCCACTGAGGTAGCGTAGCTATGTAGCTGAATAGTGGTGAGGGTTGTCAAGACCAGTGCTTTTCACTTTGCTGTCGTAGTAACTACGCATGTGGCAAAAACTGAAGTAGTGTAGCTAGTAGCCATTGGCTGAATAAAGAATAAGTGGCGAGGGTTATGCACTTTCAAGTGCTTTTCATTTACTTTGCAGTGAAATGCAATTGCCCTTGCATCGTATTGGTTGTTGGGCTCTGGTACAATTTTTACTTCAACTGTTTTGTCTTCTCTAAGGAGCTTGCTGACTTTGTTGAGACATTCTTGGGCACAAGGATCATGTATAGATCCGACGCATTTAAAAGTAACAGTGTGAGTCCTTGTTGGTAGGGACAACTGCGTGGTTTCATTATCGCTTTTGCCAGACTCTGACTCTGACTCTGACTCTGACTGCAGGTAAGGATTGTGTTGTTCACGGCTTTCAACGTCTGCAGGTGTATCATTTTTACTTTCTTCTTGCCAGTCCCACAACCACGCAACTAGTACACCTTGTGGTGGTAAATGAAAGTTTGAAAGATTCACTGACACGCTGAACTCACACTCCTGTGATAGAATGTTGAAAATGTGTAATACTCAATGTAGTAAATCCTTACTAGCTATGCATACCTCAACAAGCGCGTAATCTTTCACTCTCATCATGGCTGGGAGGAGGTGCCCATTGAGCGAGTTGTCTGTTCTAATGAATATGTCATACGTTCTATCTTGTCCGTCGACGTTAACTCTAATCTTCATCGGTCTCATTGCAACGGCTAGAACGTCAAAGCTCGGTACCACGTACTTGAATGAAGGCCCAATACTAAGCACTAGCACTTCATCCTCTGCCTCTTTGTCAGCAGGTGAACCACATGGGCGACTCGAGAGTGGCGCATACGATAGGCAGGAAAGCATCGCTAGGGACTCGTTCTGGCTGTAGTCTGCCTAACTAACTCCTTCCACCACACGCGTGCCCAGGCGGGCCTCACGCACATCGGAATGCTTGGAACGCGAACCTGTCATGTGACTCTTACGTAATGCAAGAGCCTTGTCCTACCCCCCCTGCTATAATAGTGTGTCAATCCTGTGATTAACCCTCGGCGCGCATGCGCAGCGGGGGTTACAGTACTTGATATGTCTCTCCTTCTGTATGTCCGTCTGAGTGTAAGGCTCTGCGCGGGAGACACGAATAAACGCATACTCAAAGCCCAGCCCATCAATTAGTGTTACCGCGCATGCGCAGTTCGCAGTTCGCAGTGCTTTTCTTAGTTACGTGGTTTGTGGCAAAATTACTGCTACATTTTAGCTACATGTTCATTTGAGCATTTTATCCATAGTATAGCTACTACCTTCTTCTTATAATTATGGAGCTGTAAAATTAGCCCTGCTGAAGACTCGCCCTTCTAAGGCTCTACTAGCTACCATCAAAATATTTCGTTTTCGTACAGTGACGTCGGATTATTGATCCGGGCGATTATACATGATATTGAACTCAACGAAAACTGCTTAAACGTCCAGACGTGGGTGCCACTAGCCAACTTCAGCTTTAGCCTCGATGGGCGGTTACAGACCAGGCTCCCCTGCAAAAAAACGGACTGGGAGCGGGGCTAACTCTTCAGCTAAGACGAAGCGCTGTAGCGTACCAGAATGGCTCCGTAGATTACTGCACATCAGCATGCCAGAATGGCTCATAGATTACAGTACATTTAGCGTGCCAGAATGGCTCAGTGCGCCAAATTATTGCGTGCCAGTAGAGTTGCTTGATAGACGTGCTATTTCTGCAGCAATTGCTGATGCTAAATGGAGAGAAATTATTAACCTTGGATGGCTCATGGAGTACTCGCACCCACTCGCCAAAATGCCCTGCATTCGCCATGCTCTTACGTACCTACCAACCAGCGTTTTCCTTGATAAGTAATCTGAATCAAGCAAAAATACTGCGTATCCCACCATTAAATCACCATATCCCTCTTTTTTGTGCTAACCTATGATGCCCATACATTTTGAATGGGCACACTGCTGCATTTTTTCAGCAATCTTTATCTGCGACGGCGAGCGCATTCCCGGGCGGCGCGCGCTCTTGAGCCATTCACGCTACAAAGCGCACGCTGCGCTGAGGTTGTAAGACAAAGAAAGCCGCGGTGAGCGCGAGGTTATTGATGAGGGGAATATAGTATTTTTTATCAGTAGTTTTCCCTCATCAATAACCTCGCGCTCACCGCGGCTTTCTTTGTCTCTTACGATAACCCCATTGTATCGTACGACAATTTATACCCAGGCCCGGCACTCTCCACATCACTTTGCTGCACCTAATTTTGCTAATGAATAGTCTACAGCTAAAAATTGGCTTTTTAGCATTGTCGGCAGCAGTAGCTTGTATTGGTGGATCTTCACAAGGTATGTTTCGTAAGCGGATAATCCGCGTGTGCCAGGCAGAGTCGCGAAAATCAGGCGGTACATAATAGCGCCCTTTTTCACGCACCCTTTCCTCCTACAGGTCTCTCACAATGCTTTACAAACACAGACTGCACTGGAGATGTAGTACCAGCTGCAGACCAACATGCATGCTGTGTTGATACAGTGGCAGGACTTTGGTTCAGCGACGGCTTTAACTGCCATCGTTGCATAGGTGCAGTTAGATCCTTAGCTATATATACAGCAGCATTGACTAGACTGTTTTGCTCTAGTGCACGGGTTCGTTCAAGTTGAATACACTATTCTTGAGGATGAACGACTCTTCACTGGGTTTCAACTAAATGTTAAGGGAACAACACAACATAGTGGTCTTCATCTGATAGGAACCATTGTAGCAGAAGCAGGTGGCTCTGCAAGTAAGCAGCATGAAGATATTATGGCATTAACCATTATTTTTTATGCAGCTGATAACGACTTTGAAAGGTTGGCTCCAATCAGAGTCGTAAACAGTGTAGATATTAGTTTGTTCGCTACCAATGATGAGATTACACTGGAGTATAACGACAAGATTGAACTAAAGTTTATTCCTGACCTTTCTGGCCTCATTACAAGTCTCGAGGGCCTAGGAGAGTACATTAGAAACAGTACAACAGTCCATATCATTGACAATGATTGTGAGTGTCTTTGAAATGTGCACCTTCTACATGAAACTTTGTTTTTTTCCGCAGTGTTGGAGATCAATTTTGAAGAGTCGGACTATTCAATAAAGGAGGGTGCGACAATGCTTAGTACACCAATCCGTTTGCAGTTCCGGACAAATCAAAACCCGTTCACAGTAACTCTCCGTCCCATCTCCGTTGATGTAGCTGAGTCTGAAAAATTAGGGGTTTTTATTAACTCTGCAGCGATTTCTTCGCAGTCCAGAGCTACCGCAGGTATATACGGCTCATTTTTGTCTTTTCACGCGCGGCGGAGCCACGCTTTCTATAACAGAACGTCGGTAGACGCTCTATATGCCTTTCGGTCACATAATGTTGTACTTCTAGAACCGCCAACAAACTCGCACAATTGTGTGAACTTTGACCCAGTAGGCAAGCGGCACGTCTCGTAAAAACCACCCACGCATCCTCAGAAGTGGCCAGTCGGCTCTTTGATGTTGCGGTCGGAGCTTTGATGTTGCTTTCATCTACCCTTTCAGTACGTACTCTAAAAAAGCAAAAAGGTCCCGATTGAGTGAGACATGTCATAATGTCTCAGCAGGATGAAAGGCAGGCACAGAGGCTGTGCGTAGGTCTGTAAAACGCCAGGAAGAGAGATCTCCACATCGCGCATGAGCGGGATGAAAGGGGTGTGTCGATTTTGGGCAGAGATATGCCGTGAAAACAAGCGAAAAGGCCAACAATCTGAATTCGGGTTTTGGTACTGGCAACGCCTTGTGGGTTAGTTCAGAACCACAAGCGCTGCGCCTGAGCAAAGCCTTGTGGGGATGAATCTCATTAGTTCAAAACCACAAGTGCTGCGCTCAACTTTGCCTTTATAAACTCGTGATGCCAGAGAGAGAGGTTGCGGTATGCTTTGCTGATGAGGGCTAACAAGCCCAAAACAGCTGTCCAGAGCTCCGCATCTTTTTAACCCTCATGCGCAGCGAGGGTTACGGTAGTCGTTATGTGTGTCTGTCTGTCTGTCTGTGTGTGTGTCTGTTACCACGTTTTCTGCCACCACGCGCAACAAACCGGGCAAAAATCTACACCAACAGGTTCAGCGCTACACTGGCTTCATTTTTTAAAATGGCGATTTTCGTAAAAGTATATATATACCCCGCTCAAGAGTTATGGCGTGAAAAGGCCAATATGCTAATGAGTACCATCACCACGGCTTACCTCGACTGCTTTTTCCGTCAGGCACATTGCGGAGGATATAGCGACAATACCGAACACTCCCTACGGTTCCAGCTGGCAGCACGAGCATCGACGGGTGGTGAGCGAGTCGGTGGCCAGTGTGAGCGAGGAGGCAAAGGACAGCGAGACATGACAATGCGCATGTAGTGCGCGACAAAGAACCGCGCGCGTGATGCATGACAATTATGTAGTGCGCGACAAAGAACCGCGCGTGTGATATATTCGCGCGTGTGCGTGTATGGTTTCTGCGCGTGTGTGTACGTACGGACTCACATTGTCATAGAGCATGCGTCTACCGACGTGCAATGCGTTTACTTACGCGTGCGCGTCACAGTGCGCCGAGGGTTTGCACTTTAGTGCTTTTCATTTCTCTTGGCATCACATGGTCTATTGTATATAATCTCACTGGGCTTACCGCGACCTGATCTGCTCGCTCTGTGTACCTTGGGGGCTCAAGAAGTCACAACGAATGGCATGTATAGACTTCCGCATGCTATCTACTACTGTAGCTAGCCCGTGTCAGACTCTCCGCGAGCTACTAGCGGCAGACCGCGACTCCACGAGTAAACGCATACAAATAGCCCAGCCCATCAATTAATTAGCAGTATCGCGCATGCGCAGTTCGCCGAGGGTTTGCACTTCATTATTATTTTTATTCAACACACCAGGATAGGATATAAGGCAAAATAATAAATTTTGCTTTTGAGGCTTGAAGTGAGATGCTTTTTACTGTTCTGCAAAGATTCGATCATAGCTCATGCCGTATGAATTTCGACTGAGGAGTACGTAGGTATACAACGAATGCGAGCATGCGTGAATTAACGGTATGGACGAAAGTCCTGACCGGAAGAAGTTATAACTACCTGATATAGTCATAGCGCAATGGAGGTAAAGGTGATTTTTACTATACTAGTTGCAGATTTCAGTGATCAGCCAATCACAGTTGAAGTTCCAGCCAACAGTCAACAATATCAAATTCGAGAGTTCTTTATAATAGAAGATGATGATGTTGACGAAGATATGCAGAGCTTTGCAATAGTTGCTGAGATTGGAGAGGATGTTGCAGAAAATATCAGCTGCTTCCAGCTTGGAGTGGGATCAGCAGAGTGCTTTGGACGACAGGGAGCAACCGAAATTAGAATCACTGATAATGATCGTAGGTTCTTGTAGCTAGTTTTCATGCAAAATAAAAAGTTCCCTGTTGTTCTTTCTCCCAGCAATGATCATTGGATTTGCAATAAAAAGTCAGACCATATCAGAAAATGAAGTACCTGGAATGGACATTTTCCCACTCTTGATAGAAGTAGGAACTTTGAGAACAGCCGAGAGGGAGCATAGAATTATATTCCGTCATAAAGAATCAAGCAGCACAGCCACAGTAGAACCACTTGCATCTTATGCAAAGTATGATGCCATATTTGGTACAAGAGAACAACCTGGTGATCCACTTACTGAAAAGTTTGACTTGCTGCCTGAACACGATACACCACTACTGTCAACGTTCATTAGAAATGACTTGCATCGAGAAGAAGATGAATGCTACACTATACAGATACTCCCTGTTGACATTCCTGGTCGTCGTGAGCTGTTCAAGTGCAATGACAGTGCAGATGCCGACAATTACTTCTGTGAACACACAATTTGTATCGTAGATGATGACGGTAAGTTACGTTTTGATACTGTATAGAGCAGAGTATTGCAAAACTGCACTTTAAGAAAGGTCAAACTAAACTAAGGACATGTCACCGAAATATTCTTTCTGCTGGGGGGGATAGGGGTTTTATGACAGACCCATTTACTGAAGTGTTGATCTCTTCGGGACACTAAAGAATAGTATGTTCACATAACAAAAGAATTTAATGGGAATGTATAAGAAGAATGGAAATAGCATGTGTTACCTGGAAAGTTGTTTGTTCATATCCCACCCGAATCACATGAGTTAGCTGTACTTACATAGAGCATTTATCGATCCGATGCTTTGATGATGCACACTCATTAACCTTTTGGGATTAGGACATAAAATGTCTATTAGAAGTAGTTAGGATTTTTTCACGAGTGATCAACCTGATTATCTACTTATTATGTATCACAGAGCTGTTTGTAGTTGCATTTGAGCGGACTACATACATGGTTGATGAGAGTGTCGGTTCAGTTAATGTGTGTGTCAATCTCACTCAACCTGAGATTGACATACTGGATGAAACTGTCAATGTGTTTGTCATTGACGACCCTAGCTCGGTCAAAATTCCAGCTGGTGCCACATTTGCAAGTAAGTCCTACACATTTTGAAGTCCAATCATTATTAATGCCATTTCCAGCTCCAGATCCTCCTGATTTTCTTGAACGGTATACCATGGTAGAGAAATCTGACTATGCCCAGCAGACAAACCTCTTCAATGCCATTGATGATGTTTTGATCACAGAATTGAAGAGAATAGTTTGCTACAATCAGACCATCTATGATGACCTACGTGTAGAGTTTGATGAATATGCAGGTATTACTCTTGGAGTTAGAGACATTAGTACCACAGCAGTAAAGCCAATGTATGATCAAGCCTCCATCTTTATTCTGGACAATGACGGTGAGTAAATTTCTCAAGGTTAATACATAGGTCACACATATTCTAATGTGTCATGTCATTACAATTTTAGTGGCTATACTTGGCTTGGAACAGACACTTTTCAATGTCAATGAGAACGTGGGTAGAGTGGAGGTTTGTGCTGCTGTATTCAGTCCAGATATCAACTGCCCTGTGGAATTCCCATTTGAAGTGAAGCTGCATACTAGTGATGGAACAGCAGGTAGAGTTATGCTCTAAGCCAAGGGTGAGAATATTACGCCGACATAATTTCGGAATGATAGGCCTATTAAAGCATCGGGCATCATGATTGCACGATTTGGTACTACTGTGGATGCGTAATACTTACGTGACTAGGCGTAGCTATATATACACATTGACAGTGACACTTTCCAGCTTCACCACTGTCGGCCGATTTAATGCTCAAGACTACATTGAGATGTTACTGATGGTCTAATGCAACAAACGGGACTAAAAGTTCACACCATTGCTCTATAGCATATTAATGAGCATAAAAGGCATTAATTGAGAGCATCAAGGAATAGCACAACCCCCTGATTTGAACCATTATATTCCCACACCTAGTGCATGCTTGTTTTTTTCCTCATAGTCAAAATGTTGGACTATGAACCACTTGATGTGACACTAGCATTTGGTGTTGGCGAGAAACGAAAATGTGTGCATGTCAATATAACAAATGACACGTTGGTTGAAAATGATGAGTTCTTGACCTACCATCTGAGACGTACAGCAGATCTGCACACGAGAATTAAACTAGACCCAACATTAATGGATGGACAAATTAAGATAGAAGATGATGACACCGGTAAGGAAAACAGTGCTTTTAAACACTTTTTGCTACTTTTTGTAACATTTAATTGTAGTATTGGTTCAATTTATTCCAACTACCTACACTGTGGAAGAGGGAAGAAATGATAGTGCTACATTAACATTGGTCAGAAGTAGAAATCTCCGTAGAAAAGTGAACGTTACTATTACACCAAGAGTTATGACAGCTGCCGGTATGTTTCGGTGTGAAAAAGCGACTGTTTAATAATAGCATTGCTCTATTGCAGCTGAATTTGATTTCAGAGCAGATCAAATTACTATAACTTTTTCACCTGGTGAAACGGAGGTCAAAGTTCACGTTTCCATCTTTGATGATAGTTTTGATGAAGACACAGAGACATTTACTGCTGTGTTATCTACCAGTGACACATATGTACAACTTGGAGGAAATGCTATAGTCAGTATCTTGGACAATGACGGTAATTTTGCTAATTAAGGTATATCTCAGCCTTTAATACAATTATTTTATTGCAGCATTAATCACACCAAACCCTTCTATATATAATGTGGATGAAGATGATGGAAATGCCACACTAAGACTTTTCAGAAGTGGAAGTATCAGTAAAGAGAGTGCTGTCAATATCACACTTATATCTGGAACTGCTGAGGGTGTGTTGTCTACCTATTGTAGCTACTGCTTGTAATACATAATGTTGTTTTTATTAAAACAGGTGGGTTGGACTTCGTAAACACGGTCATCACTGTTACAGTCTTACCTGGACATGCTGAGGCCATTGCTCAAAGTTCCTATAATAGATGATTCTACTGAAGAAGATACAGAAATGTTCATAGCCATATTGTCTACCAATGCATCTAACATCAAGTTTGGTGATAGTATTGTAACGGTCACTATCAAAGACAATGATGGTGAGATGCCTGTGATAGAGCATACAATGTAACAAGCACACTGCGCTTTAGAAAACAAAACCTAATTGTCGAGGTAAATACTTGAAATTTGCATTCCTATTAGAGTGTCGGTAGAGACGCTCAAGGGATATGGGTCAAATCTCACATGATCCATGTACAAAACGTCTAAAAACTCGACTCCCCAGGCCTTCCAAACACACTAGCAATAGTCTACGGGCCCATATCTACCTATACATGTTCCCAAAGACCTCATACACACCTTTAGTTGTCCACAGGAGAATTCCCTCATACGCGATTTCATGAATTTCGTGTCATCATAATTAGAGAGTCGGTAGACTCTCTAGCTATATTATAGGGATGACACGGGTGAAATCTCACGTGATCCGCGTACAAAACGACTAAAAACTCGGTGAGAATCACTCCCCAGGCCTTCAAAACATACTAGCAATAGTCTACGGGCCCATATCTACCTATACATGTTCCCCAAGACCTCATACGCACCTTCAGTCGTCCACACGAGAATTCGCTCATACGCGATTTCACGATTTTCGTGTCATCATATTCTTCATCTTCTTCTTCTTCTTCTTCTTCTTCTTTAAACCCGCTATCTCCTTACCAGTACTAGTTCAAGCACTGATTTTTTCACTGAAGGTCTCCAATTTCGCCGGAGATGTGCATGGACATCAAGCGATCGTTTCTTTCTTGCCGCTAGTCACTACGGTAGATCATGGAGCTCTTCCATGGTCGACACTGAACAACGCCATTTGCTGCTAACTCAGCATCAGTGAGCCGCGCGCATGCGCCAGGCAGGGGCGTTGTCCAATGCGAGTTGGCTGACCTGCAGAGGAACTCTCAGCCTCCAGTGTATACCTTCTGTAAGTAAGTGTGCACATTTCCAACTGGCTAGCTTGCTGTTGATTTGCACGAAGAGCAACTTGCCATAGTCTGCGCGGTGTTACGTGCGTGAGCCTTTCGGGGCGCTCAGTCAAATGGACCTTCATTGTTGTAGCCTGATTACCAAAGCCTTCCCATGAAACCACAGCTATGTGCAATAATCTAATTACATGCTTGTTGAAGACGGTGAATGCGGTATCTATAGCCCCTGCTTCAGGCACTAGCAGCCCCATTAGCTACAGTTACAATTGTCTATTGTATATAGCCTATGTAGAACATACTCATGAACATCAGAGTGACTGTAGCAGTGTTGTCATAAGCCGTTAAAAATAGTGCAAACAAGTGGAAAAATCATTTCCTAAAAATGAAAGGGGGATATAGGGATGGCTTGAAGCACCAAAAGGGAAGAAACAAGGGGTCATTACACAGCAAAGTTGCACAAAGCTACATGACACCATCCCTATATCTTTGTTACATTGTTTATAAGCAAAGTTTAATATCGAACAAAGATATAGGGATGGTGTCATGTAGCTTTGTGCAACTTTGCTGTGTAATGACCCTTGTTTCTCCTTTTGGTGGCTTCAAGCCATCCCTATATCCCCCTTTCTTTTGAAGAAATGATTTTTCCACTTGTAATAATATAATAACAAGTAATAATAAATTCTATCTGATTCATAATGCGTGGAATATAAGTATAGGGATGCCATAAAAAGCAGGAGACAAGACAGGGATGACCTAGTGCATGTGATGTAGTAGTAGAATGGATGATGGCTACATCTTCAAACTGACATTGTTTCCTCGTGTAAATTTTCCTCCACACAAGTTGCGAAGTATGACTGTGCTCCCTCATAGAATGACTCATTTCCTAAGCACGTAATGCACAGGTGTTGCCCTCTCTGACAGCTCCTCAGTTGTTGGTTGTGACTGCACTAAGACTTCCATGTTCACTCAAATAACGATGAGTTTTACAATGCTGTGTTCGTGGCCCTCCAGAGAATCCCTTTACCATTGTCCTCACAGCTAAACAAATTCATCATGCTGCGAGTACAAGTGGCGACAATATGGGGTTGTTGTGGAGGAAAATTTGTTCGATATCGCACCTTCATTCTCCCTGCAGTCTCACGGAGCCGGCTCCTTTGGACGGGCTGGCTCCGCTAGACAACGATTTGTTGTTGATTTGCATGAGGAGAAACTTTGCGAGACCGGAGAGCCGTGCTATAGACACATTGTTTGCCGTATATATCAGCCTCTGCATTTCAATTGCTTGTCAGAGCTTTTCAAAATAGTGAAACAGTGGGAAAATCTTCAAAATGAAGGAGGATATAGGGATGGTTTGATGCACCAAAAAGTAAGAAACAAGAGGTCATTACACAGCTAAGACACACAATGCTACATGACACCATCCCTATTCAAACAATTACGCATGCGCGGAATATTGCCACGCCCATCCAGGTTGTATTCTCGGTATAGGGGGAGATCAGTGTCAAAATACACAGGGGTGCAGTCGCTCATGAAATAGGGCTGTAGATGTGTGGGTGAGTACTTCATTTGGTAATGGTGGTGTTTTTATTTGGTGTATGGTCCTTTTCATTCGGGTTCATTCCTCGCTACTGTACTGTCGTCAATTAGTCTGCTCAAACCCTCAACACTCACAAACATGGTGGGACTAAATCAATCACAATCCACTTTACAATCATCAGAAATCCAAACCAAAAAAAGGAATCAACCCAAAAAATCACCCAAAAATGGAGAAACAGAACAAAGGTACAAAAAAATCAAAAAACTGAGAAAAACGTGCCCCTGAGTCACCCGGGGTTACTTTCCAACGTCTAGCTGCAAAAACATGCTAGTTTCGTACACGAAGAGAAACTTGTAGGAGGCCCACAGCATCTTCGCGATGGAACAAACGGATCCATAACATCTGATGGCAGAAAGCTCTCCTTGGGGCTGCCATAGGTTACAACACGCTTCGTCAACAGCTATGTACAACAGAAAGTTGCCAAGTGGACACAAGAAGTAGAAGAGCTGTCAAACATCGCGATCACACAACCTCACGCTGCCTACTCAGCATTCACGCATGGCCTGATCAGCAAATGGACCTACCTCAGCCGGACAGTCCTAATAATGAGAGCCACATGAAACCCCTCGAGGACGCCATCAGGCAGAAACTACTTCCCGCCGTAACAGGTCAAAATGCTTGCAATGACCTGGACAGACAACTGTTAGCCCTACCAGTACGACATGGAGGACTTGGAATCGTCGATCCCACCAAACTAACAGAGCTTCATCACTCAGCATGCGATAAGATCACAGCCCCACTCGCGGAACTCATTCTGAGCCAGTCAAAATCATATCCACCCCAGGCAAGAGCAGCACAACAACAAGCAAAGAACAGAACTCACACACTTCGAAACAGCAAGAAGCCAGAGAAGCAAATGAAAAGCTCCCACCAACTCTGAAAAGAGCTATAGACGCAGCAACAGAGAAAGGGGCATCAAGCTGGCTCACCACCCTACCGATAGCCGAACACAGGTTTGCTCTCCATAAAGGAGCATTCAGAGACGCGTTCTGTCTCAGGTACGGCTGGCACCCACCAATTAAACCTCCCATCTCACTGCATCTGCAACCAGAAGTTTACAGTCGAACACGCACTTAGCTGCTCTCGAGGAGGATTCCCGCAAATCCGACACAAACGAACTCCGAGACATTACAGCAGAAATGATGAAGGAATTATGCCACAATGTCAGCACTGCTCACCTTCAACCAGTCACCGGAGAGCAACTGCGCCACAGAACAGCCAACCGAGAAGGAGGCACCCGCCTCGATGTTGTTGCAACAAACTTCTGGGGAAGAGATCGCCAACAAGCCTACTTTGACATCAGAGTTTTCAACCCTTTTGCACAAACGCACAGAACATCTACACTCAGCCAATGCCACAAACGGCAAGAACGAGAAAAGAGAAGGACCTACGAAGAGCGCGTTCGAGAAATTGAACACGGATCCTTCACTCCTCTCGTATTCAGCACCTCTGGTGGGATGGGGCCAACAACAACAACAGCCTACAAGAGACTAGCAGCACTCATCTCAGAGAAACACAACCAGCAGTACAGCACAACACTTCACTGGATGAGATGCCGCCTGAGCCTGTCCCTCATCAGGTCTGCCATCATGTGCCTCCGTGGAGCAAGGTCCACCTACCACCACCCAACCTTCTCAGGGGACTCAATGGATGTGGCTTGCTCAGAAGGCCACATCTCTGCCCAGGACTGAACAACTCTAACCCTTACAATGTCTTGTTTGTATTATTCCCGTGTTTATTTAAAGAATGCAAAAAAATTAGTCACGCTTAGGAATGTCAATTAGTCACCAAAAGGAAGTGTAACTTCCGTCATACGTAGGAAGTCTAGCTTCCGCCGTGCGCGCAGATTCGGAAGTCTGGCTTCGCGCGCAGTCAGTAGAGCGCGCGCACGAGCGGCCTCAGTCGGCCTCGGACATTGGCTGGCAGGCGCGAGGCCAAATGTGCGCGTGCGCGCCACTAAAAGTGGCGCGGAGCAATTACGCGCGCGCCATTACACTTTTTCAATGTATGGGCAGTTCAGACGAATATTATTTACTCACCAATTTCTTCAAACTAACAGTCCCTACAGCCCACATCATGTTTTGTAAGTTTCTCTTACGCCTTCTTTATCATGCAGGTAGCAGTGGCACTTTGTTGCCAGGCCAGCTCCCATGTGATCATGTCCTCCGCAGGCTGATGGCCTTTGCTGATCTCTTCACTCACTGCAACTGCGTACATAATCCAGAGTGGACTGAATGGGTTGCAATATCACATACAAACCAGTTAAATTCTCAATGTCCCACTGGGGGTGCACTGACATACCAACGAAGGGCAGAGACGCATTAGTGGAAACTGCATTGATAACATTGAACATAACACGACATGTAAGTTTTTTATAATGCCGGGCAGCCTTTGGCCAAAAATACATAATTCATTACTCATTAAGAAAGATGACTTCTGCATAAGCTGCTCAAGGTGGCCAAACCTATCAACTACCAAGATATTCTAGATGATGAGTATGTAGTTGACTTTTTTGCTTTGCTTTGCCTTTCTACCTCGATACCAAGTTGTTGATAACACATGCTGACACTCACTGCACCTGAGTGTCTGGACAATTTACGCAATGCATAAGTGCCCTGGAGCATTACATAACTCTTTCACTCCTCATCATTTGTCAGGTGATCCAGTTGTAATTGATCAGATAATTAGAGCCTTGGGACTGGGCAGCAGTGGACATCGATATGGAGATTTGCCGAGTAATACAACACAGACTTCTGGATCTCGTTACCGTCGTGGAGATATAGCTGATGTTACCGGCTGTCCCGCACCACCGTCCATATCCCCACCCCGGAAAGTGTGCCCGAGTTACACTGTACCTCATAATCAAGGTAAGGCAAATGTATGTTTCTGTCAGTCTCAGCACTATTTTTCTATACACAGGTCGTCGTTCTGTTCAAGAGAGTCCCACAGATGACAATGTATTAATTGATTCAACATTTCAGACCAAATCTTCCTCATTGCCTTTCAGCTCTACTGCTGAAGACCTTTTGCGACATAAACGAACGAGTATGGGAAATTGCCATTATAAGCATGTCCTCTTTGTTATTGATGTATCTGGCAGCATTGGTGGATCAAATTTCAACAAAGTCATATCTGCACTGGGACAACTGGTTCCTGTTCTCTGTGACCGCACCAAAGTAGCTGTTATGACCTTTGACCACGAGTAC